AGGAACAAAATCGAAATAAGAAGAAGAAATGTAGTTAGTTCTACACATGATGAAATTTTATCATCAAACATTCTGAAAAGAATTGGAAATGGAAGTGGTATTTCTTTTTTGGAACTAAGGTTGTTAATATATATAATTTAAACAAAAAAAAGTTGTTAGTATTAAAAATGGTTAATTCCCACTTGGTCTAAAAAAAAAGGAAAAAAGTTGATGTAATAGAGAGTCATAAACACTACAGTTAAAGAGGTTCCCACCACTTCTATTGGGTGTAATCATATTTGCCCACTTTGCCCCAACAAAGACTCCTCTTTTTCTTTTTTTCTTTTTCTTGTCTCTTTTCAAAATCCCAATTGGTTTTGAACTCTCCTACTTAACTGCTTAATTGTTTAGTTTTACATGATTTTTTTTATAATTAATTTACATAATTTTTTTTAAATAGTTCGATTCATAAGATCCAATTAAATATTACACACTCGTATATTTCTTAAATTCATTGGACAAGGATCATAAATACCGACGATAAATAAGCCGGGCAACAAAAGTAGCGATGTTAAAATATTTCCGGTTACATATATAGACAAGGTTATACATCTTGATGGACATTTTTTCTTTGATGCAATTTTCCTTTTAAAGAGCATTAATTATCGAGTTTGGAGTTGTAAGTATCGAGAAATAGCAGAGAGAGGAAGGAAAACAAAAAGGAACCCATTGGTTTTGAAAATGGTGAATGTTGGTGATTTAGCATGTGGGAATCTTTTGTTTCCCAATCAACGATCCATAAAAATGCAGTTAACTTTAATTAACTTTTATTTTGAGGGAGAAAATTGCTTAGTTTTCAATTTTAGCCTTCCATTGAGTGCATGAACGAACCTTCGTGGCAGGTGACCCCACTTGGCAGATGTAATTGAACTTTGGAGGTTCCTCAAAATTCAGTTAACTTTTTCCTCTTATATATCCTTTTTCTTCTTTTTTTTTGTTGGGTTTAAAGTAGCTTTGTTCTTATTTTCATGGTATCCATTTTCCACATTTTTAATAATAGATAATAGTTTCTGTTGGAGAAAAACTA